ACTACTATTACTATTACTATTACTATTACTATTACTATTACTACGACTACTACCATTATTAGTGTTACTACTACCACTATCAGTACTGCTACTCCTACTACTACGGCTAATGTTGCTACTGCAAGTGCTACTTCTACTACTACGATGGCTCCTGCTACCGCTACTACTACTACTACTACTACTACTACTACTACTACGACTACTACTACTACTACTACGACTACTACTACTACTACCACATAGTATTATCCCTGCTACGATTAGCAGTACGACTACCACGAATATTGATACTACGACGACGACGACGACTACTACTACTACTACTAGTACTACTATTGCTAGTACTTCTTCTATTACTACCACGAGGACGACTACTACACCTATTACGGCTACTAGGACTACTACGTCTGTTACGACTACTACGGCCATTACGACGGCGACGGCGACTATTATGTTTACGACTACTACTACTCCTACAACTACTACTACTGCTACTGCTACTTCTACTACTACCACGAGGACTACTACTACTACTACTACTACTACTACTACTACCACGACTTACTAGTACTACTACTACTACTACTACTACTACTACTACTACTACTACTACCACGCCTTACTAGTACTACTACTACTACTACTACTACTACTACTACTATTTCTAGTACTACTACTACTACTACTACCACTACTAGTACTACTACTACTGCTGCTACGACTACGACTATTACTACTACTACTACTACTACTACTACTACTACTACTACCACGACGACCAGTACTGCTACTACTACTACTACTACTACTACTACTACTACGACTACTACTACTACTACTACTACTACCACTACTACTACTACTACTATTACGACTTCTACTAGTAGTACTACCAGTACTGGTAGTAGTAGTAGTAGTAGTAGTAGTACTACTACTACTACTACTACTACTACTGTAACTACAACTTCTGCCCAACGTGAGCACTGGACTACCCCGCGTGAGGGCCGATCAAAAACCAACGTTCCAATAAGGCTTCGATCAGCAACCACAGAAACGAATCCGCACAGCAACGATTAGGATGGATAGAGAGAGGGAGAGACACATAGAGAGATGGAATGGCACTAATTATTGTATGCGGCTTGGTGCGGTGCTGAAGATATCGCCCCGCTAAATCCGCCCCCCGCGAAATATGTGTTTCGGTCTGGTGCCAACGATAACACCGGGTGTTTCCTATTGGTTTCCTGGGGGTAAGTTGGTCGTGTGGTGTGTGTGTCTTTTCATTCACAGGTGCACCCACTGGAATCCGTTGCCATAGTAAGGATCATTGCTTCGCAATCAAAAGGAAAACGAAATCGGCTGGGTGGACGAGGCTTTGTCATCTCCATCGCAGATCTTCCACTGTTGCGCCCCACGCGTCGCACTAATGAATTGAACGCCGCGCATGGAGTCGACAACGTGGCAAGAAGCAGTACGCTACGCTTCTCCTCCCCCTTCCTTGCTCCCATTCCGGAGACGGGGGGGCGCTTGCACCACCTTGTGGAGCGGAGGAAGTTCGGGAAGGGGATTGGAAGGGTGGAATAGACAATTATGAGCAAAAGACCGCGGGCAAGGACGGTGTGATGGATGGAGAGGAGGAGGCAACAGAGCGACAGTGAACGCACAATGCTTTTCCCGGAGCCCCATCGAGTGCTGCCAATATTCATTTGGATTCGCGTGGGCATGCCATCGATGACCCCGTCGTTTCGTTTGGGTTCGTGTCGGTTTTGCAGTGGGCTCGCATCAGGTTGCATCCCTTCTGCACTCCTCCCTACACCTCCCCTACCCTCCCCTCCGCTCTACCCTTTCGCCACAACTCCTCCGCTCAATCTCAATGTTTGTTTGATTTTCCCTGCGTTTCCGCCCTCGCCGCAATCCTCGGCAGACCTCTTAAGTCATCCCCACTCTCCTTCTCCTTTGCGCCACCACATTCCTCCACGCACGTCTTCAGCATATCCGCGCTCCTCTCAGCGACAACCCTGCCTCCTCTGCGCTCGTCCCAACTCCACGCTGATCCCAACCCCGACGAATTTGCATCAAGAGGATTCCAACGTGATCGGATTGATCCATATCGGCGTCGCATGGGTATAAGCATTGGTTACAGTGAACCTATACGGATGCTAGCAGTTCGCTTCGCAGCGTGATTGCTCTTTCCGCTCTCTTCACGTCTCAATTCCTTCGCGCGCATACGGGCCTTATCGTGCCTTCCAGTGTGTACCCGTGCGTTAATGATAGCCGTGCCTAGACTCTTGTCTGTTTGGAACGCCCGTGTTTATAATTCATACGGACTCGTGGCTATGTGCTGGTTGCATGTCTATTACGGCGGTGTTATTCGGATACCTTCCTCTGCCAAGCAACTTCGTTATTGTAGAGCACTCGCGGCGGGAAATCATAAACCTTAGCTGTGATAGAAAGCGTGGACTCGAAGTCCACGAGCGCGAACATAGTCACCCCCTCGTGAGGGCCCTGGAGGCCCCCAGGGGCCAAGGAAGGCTTCCTTCTCCAGCAGGGGGGAGGAGGAGGAGGAGGAGGAGGAGGCGGAGGAAGAGGAGGAGGAGGAGGAAGAAGAGGAGGAGGAGGAGGATGGAGGAGGATGGAGGGGGGAGGGGAGGAGGAGGAGGAGGAGGAGGAGGAGGAGGAGGAGGAGGAGGAGGAGTAGTAGTACGCAGCTGATGAGCAATGAATGTACTGTGCCGTGCAAACTCACGTGCCGTGGAAAAAATCGGACACAAGCACGCTACACGCGCCGCGCTGCTCGCACAGGGAGGCGGGACCGACCGAGGACCGACACGGGGCCCGACGAGGGGGACCGAAGGCGGGGCGAACGAGGGCCCGAGCGGCCGCGAGGGGGAGGGGGCGAGAAGCAGGCGGGCGAGGGCCACTACGCACAAGTCAAAATCGCATAAGCTACTGCCCGCTGTCCGTGGCCTCAGACCACTACATCGTTACCCTGGTGCCGCGGCAGCACAGCCACGCTCGAAGGCGCGGCGCTGTGCGCGGCCACACATCGATGGCCAGGTCCACGCCCAAGCTTCACACCAAGCGACCCGAGCATGCCGAACAGGTAAGCGCACGCCGCTGGTGATGGCAATGGTCCGTGGCTGCCCTCACGCTGATACGTCGATCCACTCCGAGAGTTCTTCTCCCATAGCCCCAGTCTGGTCGGTGACCACGAACACACTCTTGATCATGTTCGACTGGTAGCAATTCACGCGGCGGCAGAACATCACGAAATCTGGCGGGTCGCCCACCATGGCCGCCGACCTCTCCACGAGCGTCTGCCAGTTGGCGCGCCCCACCTCCATCTTTGCCAAGCACTCGACCATCGCGGAGTCACCCGCGTCCCTTGCCGCCTTTTCCTTGTTCTTGAACAGATTGGCCTTGTCCCTCAGTGCCCGCGCGTTGAACGAGAACGTCTGGGCCTCCACCTGCCAGGCATTGGTATCCTCCATGCAGTCCTCCAAGATCACCGTCTTCATGCTCATGCCCCACACCGCGCGGCAACACCGCGCACGTTGGGTGTCCCGTAGCCTCGACCCCATCGCTGGCACCACGTCCTGCTTGCTCCGAATCAGCGCATACTGCCGTGCTGCCGGCGACTGGTCCATGTACATGTCGTTCCTCTTGGGTACCACCACACCGTCCGCAGCGTAGGCCATATCCTTCGGCACCAGCAGCGGCTTGCAGAAATCGTCCATGGGCGCGCCTACGCAGGAGCCCACCATGAACATGCAGGAGGTGATGGTCGTGCACTCAGCGTTCTGTCTTCTCTCGAAGGCCGCCCACACGTGGACCACGTGATAGTTCTGCATGAGAGTCTCTGGCACCGACGTGTCGCCCACGGGGCGTCCGCTGCCACTGCGAACGGCACACCTCGCATCGACCGCGTCGATACTCACAGTGAGGTTGCACCTGCGGGTCCTCGTCACGTTCGTGGCGTAGCGGATGTCCTCCTCATCCAGCTCCTTGATCAGGTGTGCCGTGTGCCCCGTCATGGTCGCCCTACTCTCCAGCATCACGAAGGCCGCACGATGGGACACGGGCTCATTCTGCAACTCCTCCAGCAACTCTTCTCGCCCTTCACCAGTGAGAGTCGCCTGGCTGGGTTTGGTACGGTCCCACCTCTCACGCATGGGGGTGCTCTGGCCGCAGGAGCCCGCGAAGGTGGGGCCGCAGTCGTGGCACGTGTTGATCGCCATTCTTCCCACCGTGCAATGCCAGTCATGCGCCCGCCGCTGGTCGCACATGTCCGAATAGACTTCGGGGCTGCCCGCCTTGTTCGGCTTGGGGGGGAGCACCATCACCGCAATCATCACGTGCTCCGACTGGAAGCGCCAGATGCCCATCCCCCCGACCCACGTCTCGTTCAGCATGATGGCACCTCCACACGCCTTCGTACCCTGCCGACTCCAGAGCCACCCGACCAGGATGGTGTGGTGGTACGTCGCCGTGTCCGCATGGTGGTACGCCGCCTGCCACGCGCGTACCCTAGTCCCAGGCACACCATTGTTGCCCACGTTGCGCAGCACCGTCGAGACCCCGTCGTGGTGGTATTCCGTTACCAGCGAGTGGGGGTACGACGAGCCCAGGAAGCACCAGCGCAGGGCTGCGACGACGCCAATCCACGTGGCCATGATCAGCTTCAGCATGGAGCCGCAGGCACAGCGCCCCACGGCGCGCATCGCGCGGCGCCTGAGCGGCAGCGTGCCGCCAGCCCCAGGTGGGGCGGCACACAGGGATCAGCGCCTGCGGGCCGCGGCAGCCCCCATCACAGCAGGGCAACCTCGGGGCGGCCGCCTCTGGCAAGGGGGGGTCTGGGCCGCGCCGGCGGCTGGAGGAGGAGGAGGAGGAGGAGGAGGAGGAGATACCAGCACGTCCAAGACCTTCCATCCTCCGGTCCTCCACGCGGTGGGGGGGCGCCTGCCGCCGCCGCGCTTGACGCGCGGACCGCGCGCGGACCGGAGGCCGCAGGGAGGAGGCCCAGGAGGCCGCGGCCGAGGCGCCGCCCAAGGCGGAGGCGGCAGGGGACCCCCCGGGCGGCGGCGCCGACGAGGCCGCCGAGGAGAAGAGGCGAGCAGCCGCGGACGGGGAGGGGGGGGCCGAGGCTTCGGGCGGCCTGTCAGACGCCCGAAATGGGTACCGAAAGAATGGGTACTATGCCCAACAGCAGTTCCTGTTCCTTTTGAACAGGCCTCGCTGTCCGCGCCGCCGCGGCCTGTGTCCATTCGAGACAGGAGGTCGCCTGCCCAACAGCGGCCGCTGTTGCTTTGGGACAACATTTGCTGTTGGGCATGGTACCCATTCTTTCGGCACCCATTTCGGGCGTCCAAAGCCGAGGAGAAGAGGCGAGCAGCCGCGGACGGGGAGGGGGGGGCCGAGGCTTCGGGCGGCCTGTCAATCGGCGGCGAGCGAGGGGGGGGAGCGGAGAAGGAGAAGGCCCTCGAAGGAGGCGGCGGGACTTCTCAGAAGGTCTCGCGCCTTCTAGGGAGTGTTTCGTGTCTTCGGGGAAGGCTCAGAAATTTTCTCAGAAGGCCGGGGGGCGGATTGTCAAGGGCGGAAAAATCACCTGGACCCGATGATTGGCGTCTGCTGAGAGGCCCTGGGCGTTTGCTACACAGCCCTGCCCTGTTCGATTTCCTCGTTGGGTGCGTTTGCGAAACGGCTTCGCGTGTCGGGGTGATCATTATGAGGGTGGGTTTCTTGCTCTCTAGGTTGGATTTGCTCACTCCCCGCGTCTTTTTCCCACCTGGAAGGATCTGAAGGGTGCGCTCAGCAGGTGCAATAATATATTTGGTGCGTTCGTCGGGTCTCTAGATGGGAATAGGGCCTGCGAGATGGCGCGAACGGTTGCAACACGTCAAGTGGGAAAGGTCTGTTGGCATGGCGGATTATACACCCCCAAGCTATGAGCCGGATACGCATCCATCCCCCCCTCAAACCACATTCCAGGGGCTTGGACAAGGACAGGTCCGGGAGGATACGTTGCCCCCGAGAGAAGTGGTCGAGTGTTTGGGCAGCCCGCGGGTTGAGCCAAAAGCAGTCGGTCTGAAGTTTGGGGGTCCGCTCGGGGGCGCTCTTCTGTCTGGACTCCGCGTCCTGGGAGGTCCCACCCAGGCAAGATTCCTTTGACGCATGCGAACTCTGCCAGTGCCGATGAGGGCCCGATCGACGCTGTGGCATCGACACCCCCGCTGGTGTTCCATGGCTGCAGATATCCTTCCAGTTCTGAGAACCCGCCAGCATTTCATAGAACATCTGATTTGCAGGGCCACATGTGGTTGTTGCCGAATCCTTCATTCCATCCTGATGCGTTCGTCCGGATCCTGCCTGTCCCGGCGGTCCGTGGAAGCAGGGCTGTCCAGTGTCGTGTAGGACTATCTCGTTAGCCGCCGCCGACCGAGCTGGAGCCACATGGAGGCTGCCAGCGCGTCGCGCTCGGCGTGATTGACGGGTCATCACGTGTCAGCGTTGAGACGCGCTCGGCGTGATTGACGGGTCATCGCGAGAAGACGGAGACGATTGGGACCAGCGGTCGAACCCTCCATCCCGCAAGAAGAAGAGGAAGAAGAAGAAGAGGAAACAAACAATGTTTGTTTCATCTTCTAAACGCAAGGGGGTGATTCGACCCTGCCCCAAGAGTGCCCCCAGAGGCTCCCAAGATGCCCCTCCTCCTCCACCTCCTCCTCCTGATCTTCTCCGCCATTCTCTCCCAAGTGTTCCCCGAAGGGTTTCCACAACGGCTGGGGGAACGCATGGTCCGATAGTTTGGCAGAGTTCTTGCCACAACGCTCGGCCACATGGGCGATTCCAAAAGGCATGGGGCGGGGGTGATCCGCCGCATGCGTCTTCGATAAGCAAGCACTTAGCCTGGCGAAGGGCCTAACCCTCTGCAGTCACGCGTAGCGCAGGGCGCGGCCCTCTCTTCACACACCGCGCGCCGCAGGGCAGTGCGGATAGTGGGCTCTGAACTCTTTGTTGAATACGGTCCGCGTGAAGGAGGTCCCGAATAATCTGGATGCACCTCGTGGGAACACGCCCACGATCGCCGCAGGTGGAGCTCCCCCCGAGGGGACGCCATGTGAATCTGTCCATTGGTGCAATAGGAGGGGCTCCTTGTGTGGCTCGACTCGCGTTCAGGGCCTGCCAACATGGGCGTGGTGGCGCTGTACGAACCTTGCCTCTGGGCTTGCAGGTGGTGCTGCCTGAGGGCACGATCCGCGTGATGGGTGTGCCGCACTGGCCAGGGGGGGCGCAATGCGAACCTTGCCTCTGGGACCGTAATTAGGTGGAGATCCCTGTGGGCCACGATCCGTATGAGAGGTGTTCTAAGGTCACTCTAAGGTCACCGGGGCGACGCTATGAAACGTATCGGGCCTCTCGGAGGCCTCCTGGGCCGTGTTTGGGCACGGTTGCCCCATCAGACGCATTTGGACACTTTTGCGGGAGCCTCGTGATCGCTGTAGGGCCGTCTTGGGGCTTTTTGTGTCGGGCTTTCTTTCTATATAGAACTATTGGGACATTTTGTGGCGCGTTAGCCGTCTTGGGACTATCGGGGGCTTCGGCCGCATTGAGGTTGTTGGAACCTCTTTGGACTGTTGGAAACTTAAAATGAAGAGACAACGGACACCATTCAAACGGTCGAGGTTTAGATTTCTTCAGGCTGTTCTCGAAAGCCTCAGGCCCCCTCCAGGCCAGCTTGGCCGCCTTGGGGTCACATGGGGGGAATTGGGAGGCTTCTTGGGACCTTCATGCCATCTTGGAGGCCAGCTGTCACCGTCTTGTCTTGGGCCGTCTGGGCCCTTCTTGAGGACCATCTTGGGCCATGTTGGCTGGCTTGGAGGCGAGCTGTCTTGATGTTGGGTGCTGTGTGCGGTGGCGGCGGACGGGCCGAGATCCGCAATGAATCTTTTGACGAGCCAGCCGTGTCATAAAACCTGGCAGGCTGCGCATCCCTCATGCAAGCAACAGAGGGCGACGGATCGAAGACGCCTACGACGAGACACGGCCGGTCCCTGCCTTTGGGGAAATGCCTATATCTCTAATCGTTGGGGAGAGTGTCGGCAAACACCTGGATTGTGGGTGTCTGTTGAACCTCGTTGGCTGGTTTGAGACCATCTGGGGGCCACCAGGTGTTGCCTTAGGTCGTCTTCAAACCATCATGGATTAGTGAGGGGGCCGTCTACAGGAAGGGGGGGCCCACCCCAAAACGCTAACAGCCAGGCCGGGGGGGCACAACTAAAATGTAATATTCGAAATTACGTTTTTGTCCGAAGGCATGGTTTGGAAAATCCAAAATTATGGTTTGTTGTTGTTTTTGCCCTGAAGGGCTGTGTGTGTGCTTGAATTCAGAAATCGTGATTTTATTGTGGGAAGGCTTCGCCTCTTTCGCCCTTCTGGAAGTGTTGTTGCACGATGAACGCCACGTGCGAAACATGTTTGTGGGGAGTTGCGTGTGTAGGTTCATTGGCGGTTGATCGCGTAGCTGGTTTCGTTACTGCTCGCATCCGTCACGGCCCACCCAGCAATAGTACCCTGGCGAAATGTCTTGATCAGGGAAGCGCGGGAACATTCCGTGTAACGAAGAGAAATTGATGGGGAAGCCGTTCAACTGAATTTCGCGGGTCAGCCCGGGCACGCCCGGGAGTGAATGCACATTCGCGGCCCTTGCAGAAACAGGCAGGGCGCAGAAGAATGATGAGGAGGCGGGGGAGGGGGAGGTGGGGGGAGGAACACGAGGAGGACGAGGACTGAAAGGAAAAAGGGAGGAGCGACGGGAGTAGCAGGAGGGGGCCGAGCAGAAGTATGATGACATTAACTCCGCAAGCTTTGGGGGGAGGAGGAGGAGGAGGAGGGGGATGAGGAGGAGGAGGAGGAAAGGAGGAGGAGGAGGAGGAGGAGGAGGAGGAGGGGGAGGAGGATTGGGCGAGGAAGAGGAGGAGGAGGCGGAGGAGGAGGAGGAGGAGGACGACGACGAGCGTACAACGCGCCCACGCGCGTGCGCGCGAGGTGTGAATTCTGCATTGTTCTCAGCGGTCTGGCAACGAAGGGGCCTGGAAACGAAGGGGTTCTTGGGCGGTGACCGAATGGATGTTCCAGGTAGCGCAGGGCTGCAGCGCGCCAGCCAAGTGGCTGAGCGCGCAACGCGCCCGCGCGCGCGCGCCGGCGCGAGCTGTGAATTCTGTATCTCTTGTAATAGAAGGGCCGCAATGTTGGCGTGGAAGCTCAAGAGGTCCCCTAGCGGAGAACGATTGGATTTCCGATTTACCATGGGTTTGTAGCACGTCGGCGAAGTGGCTCAGCGCGCAACGCGCCCACGCGCGCGCGCGGGCGCGAGCTGTGAATTCTGTGTTATCCACAAAAGAAGGGCAGTCGTGCTGTCCTGGACACTAAAATGGCCCCCCAGCGGTGACCGACTGGATTGTCAAATTGGCATGGGGATGTAGCATGTCGGCCAGGTGGCTCAGCGCACAAGTCGCCCGCGCGCGCGGGAGCGAGCCGCCGCTCTGCGTTATCCAGAACAGAAGGGCCGCCATGGTGGCTTGGGAGTTCAAGCAGCCCATTAGTGGTGGCCGATTTCTTTTTCCAATTTAACATGGGCTTCTGGCATGTCGGCCAAGTGTCTCAGCGCACAGCGCGCCCACGCGTGCGCGCGCGAGCTGTGAGTTCTACCCGCAATAGCAGGGCCGCCATGCTGGCCTGGGAAATCAAGCGGCCCATTAGCGGTGACCGATTGAATATCCGAGATAGCTCGAGTTCGTAGCGTTTTGGTTAAATGGTTCAGCGTACAACGAGCCCACGCGCGCGCGCGCCCGCTTGCGCTCGCGCGCGCGAGCTGTGAATTCTGCATCACCAACCATAGAATGGCCGCCATGTTTGCTTAGAAACTTAAGTGGCCCCTGAGCAGTAACCGACGGACTTCCAAGTTAGCAAAAGGTCGTAGCATGCCGGTTAAGTTGTGCAGCGCACAGAGCGCCCGCGCCTGTGCGCGCAGGCGCGAGCTGTGAACCCTGTATTCTCCGCAATGCAAATGCAGCCACGTTGGCCTGAGAACTCAAGTGGCCCCTTAGCCGTGGCCGATGGTAT